GGGGGATCGTGCCTAAGCTGGCAGTCAGACATCCCTCTGGCAGCCCGGGAGACCTTGGGGGATGTCTGCTTGCCAGCAAAGAGCAGGCTTAAGCTGCAGTCTGACATCCTTAGATCTGCTGAGGAGGCAGGAGAGGCTCCCACCACCACCGCTGTGCTGGCAGCCATCAGCCTGGCTTGTGGCTGAGCAGAGCTCCCCCTGTAGGAGCGCACTGACCACTACGGGGAAGCTCCTGTGCTGAGTTAGTTTCCTTCCACGTCCAGCGTGGAGTAGGGTTCGGTATCTGAAAGAGGTGCCGCACAACAAATGAGAGAAAAAGACACAAGATAATTGGGAAATGTCGGGGAGCCAGGCGGGCAAGTCCAACTCAAGGAGAGTGAGACTTCCCCAGATGCTCTGGCCACTCCAACCTTTTATTTGGTCTGGGGTAGCCCTAAGGTAAGGAGGTTTCAATGACACACAGATTACTTCCAGCACTCCTGCATTGAGCATCTGCCCCCTAGTGGTCAGTGTGTGTCATAGTGACCAGTCATTCCCAGTCTTTCTCCTGTTAGGGTCAATTTGCATATTACCTTTTATTATATAGGATAGAGGCCTGGTGGGGGCCAGCTGGTTTGCCCTGAAGGATGTCATGGATCAGGGTGGGGGTCCTGCTGGGGAGACTGGCCAGCCTGGGTGAGGGGCTGAGGGCTGTTTTCAGGCTGGCCACACCCCCTTCAGGGTGGGAGTCCCTACTGGAGTGCCTGGCCAGCCTGGGTGAGGGACTGATGTCTGTTTTCAGGATGGCCACACCACCCCGGCCACCCAAGCTCCCAGCCTCTCCTTTTTTTCTTATTTTTCCTTTTTCTTGGATTTATTTATCTTCTATAATTGAAACTTTGTAGCCTTGAGTATAGCCCAGGGCCAGCCAGGGCAGGTGGGAAGCTTGGCTTCCACCATCACCGGGGGCAACCCAAGCTTCCTGCTCACTCCAGCTCCATGGCCGCAACCATCTTAGTTGGGTTAATTTGCATACTCTCCTGATTGGCTGGTGGGTGTGGCTTGAGTGTAGTGGAAGGACCATTAATTTGCATGTTTCTCTTTTATTATATAGTAGAGGCCCGGTGCACAAAAATTTGTGCACTCGGGGGGTAGGGAGGGTCCCTCGGCCCAGCCTGTGCCCTCTCACAGTCTGGGACCCCTCGGGAGATAACGACTTGCTGGCTTAGGCCCACTCTCGGGTGGCAGAGGGCAAGCCCAATCTCTAGGTGCCTGCTCCGCAGCTCCTGGTCGGGCTCAGAGCAGGGCTGATTGGGGAGTTAGGGCACCAACCCCTGTCATGCACAGAGCAGGGAGAATCGGGAGGTTGCAATGCCACCCTCAGTCACGCTCAGGGTAGGGCCGATTGGGGGGTGGGGCACCGCCCACTGTCACACTCAAGGCAGGGTTGATGGGC